TCTATCACTCATTGTCTTACTCAGTTTTACATTAACAACACTATTTTTAAAGTTCCAGTTCATTGACAGAAATCTTATCACACGTGTTCACCTTGGGATCAGTTCCAATAGCTAACATACCCTGTAAAGTCATTCGATCAGGCTGAGTGAATGGGCAGTTGTAGTCACAGTGCCAGAGGGAACAAATGGGCATTGTCACATTGAACAGTTCTGCCTGGAAGGCTTCATTTGCTCTTGGGTGTCACAGATCATTGAATGTGATATCTGACCTTTCACCTTTGGGCTCATGCTAGGCCGTGTGGCAAATACCAGTAAAGCTTCATTTATTTCCCTTTAACAGTGCGAATCAGATTGCACTGCATTCCAGTGGACCTTTCAGTCCCACGTAAACCCCAGGATAGAAACTGTTGCTCTAGAACCTTCCACAAGACTGAGGTTAACTTCTTCTCAGATAAAGAGGTTGGCAGAGGGATGTGTAGAAATGCCAGGTGAGGAGCAGCCCAGGACCACAGAATTTCACTTGGGAAGGGATCTAGGTGGTTCTACTCTGACTTTGTGTGTGTGTGTGTGTGTGTGTGTGTGTGTGTGTGTGTGTAATCAGGAATCGAACTCAGGACTTTGTACTGGCCAGACAGGCACTGTGCTACTGAGCTATATCCCTGGGCCCAGTGGTTCTGCTCTGGAACCTCCAGAGTTGCCTTTTCCTTGGCGCCTTAACATGCTACTCCTTTCTTCATCCCAGCAATCAAGCAACTAAGTAGAAATATAACCAGCGAGTGAGAAGCGAGCTCTAACTAGCCGAGCATGGCTGCAGGAGACTGTTGACAGAGACCACAGTGAGGCAGTGCTGAGCAGCCTGCAGAAGCCGGCAATCGGCTTCCTTGCATCTTCCCAGGGCTAAGTGATTTGCCTGAGGAGCCAGCAGCAGGCTCGCAGAAAGCAGAGACAGAGTTCTCTCTCCATGCTGAGGGTCACAGTACAGGCCTGTGACACTGTGACAAGTCTGAAGGCAAGATAGCAGCACAGCTGAGGACAATGGCCCTCACACAGAACTGCAGGGCGATAACTGCCAACCTTAGAAATAAAACTGTTCTCTCACTTAGCAACAGTTTACTGCTTGGAATGTCTTTATTTCATTTTCACAAGGCCACTTACTTTTGTTTTGTTTTGTTTTTTGTCTTTTTCCTCTTTATCGGTACCAGGGATCGAACTCACGACTGCCTGCTTGCAAGGCAGGCGCTTATGCTGCTGAACTAAATCCCCAGCCCCAGCCACTCACGTTTGTGACCTTTAGCTGTTTGGCTGTTCTGTGACCTTTAGACTCTAACTTTTGTCTGCCTTGTCTTCTTCAAGGCACCTGGTATCCACGATTTCCTAGTCCTCTTTCCTCAGCATCTCCTGATTCTACACTCATGTGCTCTTCTCTCTCTCTCTCCCCCTTTTTCTCAGTTTCAGTGCAGACCCCCTCCTCGGCTTGTGAGTTCAATGTTGCTGTTCCTCACTGCTTTGTCCATCTCCCCTTAATTGATCACCCCAATAACAGCCGCTTCTCTGATGAATTCAGTTCATTGGTGTTATTTAGGCTGTGGCTCCCAAACTCGTCTTCAGCCTAGGTTTCTCTCCTGATGTCCACATTTTACAACCACAAATATACTGGAAAGGGGAGGGAGGCTTTTATCTCTAACTACTGTGTTCCTCACTTGAGAAGTGGCTCCAGGCCCAGACCATGTCCACAGCTAGTCCTGACCACAGGGAGCCTTTCAGTCTTCATCAGGGAGAGTCTGACGGGTGGGGGAAACTGTCTTCCCCACATCAGATTTGGTGACAATGGTGCATCACTGTGCTCTGGAGGGCTTTGCTGTCAAGGGCTCAGGCCTCCCGGGGCCAGCGTCGTTAGTCAAGGTGTCTGTATTCCCAGACCATTCGGAGGCCTGGCTACTGACAGTCCTGTAGAAGCACTAGTCTCTACTTTCACCTTTCTGCTCACGGCCCCTCTTCCTTTCCTGAAGTCCAGAAAGAGGCAGGAGTCTTTTGTTTAGATGACAGGACAGGGAAGCGGCCCTCCTTGCCTATACTTCATCTTTAGTCTATATTTCAGCGGAGCCATTCTGTGGAGAGAAAGGGGCCCAGGAGAGGGTGCCTCCCTTTACCTCTCACTCATTCTGCTGCAGTAAGTGAACGGAGGCTGGGTGGTGACTGCAGTTTGGCTGATTGTCCTAATTACTACCCAGACACGTGACTGCTGAGCACCGGTCAGCAGGCCGTTTCCATGCGAAAGTATGTCTCACTTGAACTGAAGGGAATTTTCCTGGTTTTTTTTTTGTTTTTTTTTTGTGTGTGTGTGTGTTTGGGGTTTGTTGAGCTTCTTGGATGTGTGAGTTTGAGTTTTCATTAAATTTGGAAAACACTGGTCATTCTTTTTTCTGTTACATCTGAGAGACAGAGAGAGAGAGAGAGACAGACAGACAGAGAGAGAGAGAGAGAGACACAGAGACAGAGAGAGAGAGAAAGAGAGAGAGAAACCAAAGAACAAAAAATGCATCAGGAAAATCTTTTAATTCTAAATTTATTGAGACATTATGAAACTGATACAAATCACCTTTGACCTCTACAATTACAAGAGGTGCTCAAAATGGTGGCCACTAGCTTCCAGACATTTATGAGTATGGTAAACTGCTGAAGTGTGTATATATTTTTTGGGCAGACTATATCTATATATCTATCATCTTTATTATCTACTTATCTATCTATCATCTATCATCTATCCATCTGTGAAGTTTTTATGAGTTATATTCATTCCACCCCCATCAAAACAAAAACAAAAACAAAACAAAACCAAAAATAAGAATTGGGCCCAATGGGGCACACCTATAATCCTAGAATTCACAAACCTACAAGCTTGAGGCCAGCCTGGGCTATATAAGGAATTCAAGATCAGCTTGAACTACACGATGAGACTCTGTTTCAATAAAAGGTTATATTCACTTTTTTAAAGGCTTTTTTCCTCCTCAGACTTTCATTTTAGGTACTTTCTGATGCTGTGTCTTGAAGTTCACTGCTATTTTCCTCTAATTAACTATTATCCCAAACTCAGTGTATTTTTCATGTTAGACATTGTAGAGGCAGCAACTCATCTGGAGGAATTTCACTAGCCTATTATTATTTTACACATTTTTAGAGGTGTAGAAAGCATGCATTAGCAATGCATAAAAACAATATTTAGAAACAGTAAAGTTGAATAGGCAAGCGGGTGGTTTTTGATTTGAAGAAGTTAATCTGTTTACATTATATGCAGGTCAAAAAGTGTTTCTTTTTCTTTAGTTCAAAGGAAAGTAAGTGATTCTTTGAGTATAGTTACTGATATGTTCTATAGCAGAATAAACTGTTTCTGGGTTGGAGGTAATAAAAGGTTATGAACCCACAATTGTAGGCTTTTCAGATTTCTTTCTCACTGCCACACTGAGAACACAGAATTGAGAGCTGAGTCACAGGGAGGCAGTAGAGGGGCATGTGTCCCCGTGTGTTTCTTATCCTGTTTTGAACACTGGCAAAACATCTTTGCAACTTCCAGAACAAACCAAAATAAAACATCATTCAAACCTGGGCCAGAGTCTTTATTTGACAACCCTAAGACACAGATCGGTTGTTGTCACTTGGCTTTATGAATACTGATTCTATTGATCATCTATCTGTGGCCCTTTGGGTATCCTTTATGTGTCTGTGTACCTTAGCCTACAGCTTCTAATGTGAGTGGCTGCACGTTCGTTGGGTGCAGGCCAGAAACTCCTGGGGATTAATGTTCTCTTGGGGCCAGCCTGTGACAGTGACTGGTGACCACAGGGTATAAATACTCCAGTTACTACTGTCTGGTCAGGATAATTCTGAGTCAGATGCTCAGTACCATTTTCCTGAGTTTTTCTATGAGATTGTGATTGATTTGCCCGCTTTGAGAGCTGGCTTGCTGGAAGCCTTCCTTTCTCTGTGTCATTTCCTTTCTATACTGGTGCTGTGCCTGAACTTCCCAGGAAAATTACATGCCCTCCAACTTCATCTTAGGATCTCCCCCTGGAAAGAATTAAACTAGGGTTGGTGGTGACATGGACCATGCAACAACCTTGTTACCACCTCCTGGCATCTTAAACTCCTCTCTGGCCTCTCAAGCAGTCAGTAAGATAAGCTGGGGACATTTCTACTCCTGTGACTCCTATAATGTGTTTTCTGAGCAAGTCCAGCGTATGGTAAACCCGGACACCCAGAATATTGCAGATTTGTTTCTGAGACTGTTAGACCACAAATCCGCTGGTGCAGTTGGAATGCAGGTTTCAGCTGTCACAAAGAACTGCTTCTGCTGATGTTTGGGTTTCATATCCACTTGTCTTTACCACAAACAGGGCATTCTTCTACTTTTGCAAAATTAGTGTCACAATAACTAATAAACAGTCAGAACACATATTTTGTACACGACAGTTGTGTGTTCTGTAAAACAGAGGTTCAACTTTTGTGTGACTCAGAGCTCCCTTAGTACCTACTGTAACATAGATTAAAATGTAGACGCCACCCCCAGAGTTTCCGAGCCAGTAGCCAGAGGCACTGGAGAGTACATTTCTTACAAGTTTCCAGGTGGTACTGAGTTTGCTGGTCCAGGGAGCACATTTTGAAAACCACTGACTTAAAGAATTTCAATGTTCTTCTCACCACTGGTTTAGACAATTACACCTTTTAGCCTCTGTTCCTTTCATGTGATCTAGTATGTTATAAACCATTGTGCATGATGATACTCTGTCTCATAGACTAACAATATTTTTTTCTTTCTTTTTTGTTATCGGTACTGGGATCAAACTCACGACCACGTGCTTGCTTATTAGTGATGGTACGCTATTTAGAATTTTCAGCCTACATGTGTCCTAATCAGCAGTTATCACATTATCTGGTCCTTTACTTCATTGTCAAGATGTTAATTTTTTTTTTTTTTTTGGCTTTTTCGTTTTTACCGATACCAGGGATTGAACTCACGACTGCCTGCTATCAAGGTAGGCGCTTATGCCACTGACCTAAATCCCCAGCCCTGTCAAGATGTTAATTTAAGCACAGGCAGGAATTTCATTCTTTCAGATATAAAACATAGTATATCTAAATATATTGAAAATATAGTACCATTTCTATCAAAGTTGTGAAGTTTAGGATTTTTAAAAAATTTTATTTTAGAACAAAACAAATAAAAAAGACTAAAAACAATGGTGCAGAATTTCACATCAACATCATAGGAAATTAACAATGTTTATTATATTGCATATTGTTATCTTCAAAGTAGTTGTTCATATTACAAGATACAGGCAGGAAAAAATGACATAACGATGACACTACAAACTGTTCTTTTGATGAATTAACAGGGATTAGTAGTATGATTATCTATCATAATATGTGTAGTTTATGACCTAAAGAACAGTTTTTTTGGTGGGGGGAGAATACTTGGGGTTGAACTCAGGACTTTGAGCTTCAAGGACAGTTTCCACACCCTGCTATGGTTTGGGTGTGGTTCTCTCCTCAAAGGCCCACATGATGGAAACTTGGTCCTCAGTGTGCTGATGAGAAGAGTGAGGCTTAGTGGGAAGTCCTAGATGGCTGAGGATCTATCACTGAAGATCGCTGAAGATCAGAAACAGTAAAGAAGTTCTCATGGGATGCTGGGTCTGTTCTCTCCAGGGCAAGGTGTTCTAGAAACACGAGCCTGGCACATTTGGCTTCCAGCTTCTGGTCTGGCCATGTGAACCTCCACTCGCATCCACCTTTAGCCCCTCACTAGAGGGTAAACCAATGGAGCTGTCTGATCTTGGACTTCCAGCCCCAAAACTGAGCTAGGTAAGTCTCTTTTCTTCATAACTAGCTTGCTTTCATTATTTTGTTAAGAATAAAAAAAAATGAATAGGCAACCGTAAAGTGATTCACTTTGAAACAAGAACTCCCATTTGTCCCTTGCTCTGATGCACTGGTGTTGTGTTTCCCAGAATAAAGGGCAGGGTTCCAGAGGAATTCAGGGTTTGTAGTGTTTCTGGGAAGTGCAGAAATTGATGCCACAGTGCTGAGGGGAGAGGAAGGGGGAAAACTTCGCTGGAAGTGATGACAGATGTGGCCAGCAGTGGCTGTCTCAGAGGACCACCAGCCAAACAGAGCCACATGGTGGAGACCCAGAGGCCCCAGCAGGCTGGAGAGGAGGAGCAGGAAAGCAGAGCAAGTCATCTCGGGGCAGAAGGTGCTGGAGGGAAAAGGGCCAGGGCAGGGGGACCAAAAATGTCATGGCAAAGGCCAAGAGCCACTTTGAATGGGTCTTGAGCATCTGCTTGTGGTGAAGCAGAAATTATGTCTCTAACAGACCTTCATCAGGAAATGTGCTACAGTTTTATATAATAGAAACATTGTGCCCCGCATTGCTGTAGTAAAGAACAAGCTAGAAAAGAGCAAATTGGGGAAAATTTTATATGAAACGTCATAAATTAGGTGGGAAAATGTGGAGCTCCACCTGGACCACTGTCCTTGAACAAAGAGCAGTTACCTCCACTTTGGCTAACCTGGCCCTGTCTCCATGTCCTGATATGCACGGAGCTGGCTAAGGCGTTTCCTTCTCCCGTCCGTTGGCTCTAAGCAGTGTAAACAGAGCAGCTCAGGTGCTGATGTGCAATCTTTGAAGCTGGGTGACAGTCACTGTTTCCCTACCCTGTGACTCCCATCAAAACATAGTTGAACCTGGCAGGATGGCAGAGCCACTGCTCCAGGGCTATCACCTGGGTTCAAGCCTTGAAATAAGAGGCTGTGACTTCCCAGGACAGAAAAGTTTGCACATCAGAACGGAAGCACTGGCCCCCAAAACATCAAATGCTGCCTCCGTTGTGTTACGCAGATTGGTTTTTCTGCATGTCCTTCTCTGCATATTGCAGAGGTGCTTTCAGGCCTCCAGCATAGCTCAGCTCTTAGTCTCATATGTCTCTCACCATCCTCACTGTCACTCATCCTCAAGCCACTCCCTTCTTAACAAGTTAATAAAATCTGGGTTAGGCCTGGGTTGAGCCTTTATTCCATTGAACCTTCATCCTGGCTGGACTTAGGACCCCCTTGGCACCCCATTATTATAAGTATGCATTAGTGTTTTTATTCTCATTGTGGGTTACACTGGAAGTGGTAGATTGGAATTAACTTGTTAGAATTCCAGTAACTTTTCCATGTAATTGCAAATATAAATTTCCTGAAATGAGGATGGGAAAGGGGATCTCTATAGGGAGAGGATCTTTTCAATTTCATGAATGCCATTTTTTTCATGCTATCTTTATTGCAACTCTTTCCCCTAGGTTTAGTGCTAGTTAAGGAAATGATCTGTTGACAAACACCTCTAAGATATGCTTGTTTCTAGAAATTCAATTGCTTGATACATTGCACACGAACACATTGGGTTCTTAACATACTATAACAACTCAAATGTACATCAGTGGCCAGATGGACAAACACAATTTAGAATATATACAGTTGACCCTTCATATCCACAGGTTTGAAAAACTGTGGATCAACAATTCTTGGAAAAGTAATTGCATCTATACTGACTGTATACTGATTATCTCCTCCTTATCATTATTTCCTAAGCAATGTGGCATTACAGTTATTTACAGAGCACTCACATTGCATTAGGAATTACAGGTGATCTAGTGATGATCTAAGGTGTATGGGATGGGACTTGGTGTGTAGCTAAGTGGTAGTGTGCTTGCCTACCATCAGGGAGACCATGGGCTCCATTCCCCTCACTGAAGGAAAAAGTATACAGGAGGGTGTGTGTAAATTGTATGAAAATACTATGCCCTTTTATATAAGGAACTTGAGTACCCACAGAATTTAGCATCCAAGAGGGATCCTGGAACGAATTGCCCTTGGATACAGAGAGATGACTGTGTAGATCACAACTATAAAGAGGGAACAAAGTATAGTACTGAGACATACTAACATGTAGATGAATCTCTCTGAAACTTTATGCTAAAGTTACGAACAGGCCATCCCTGAACATACCAGCTTCGTATATTGATTATTGTGAGCAGAAGGTACTTGCAGAAAGGACTATCAGATGTGTCCTTTTCTACCTAAAGGACATCATAAGATTTTCCTGGAGAAAGGTTCCCTCACTGCACCAGTGTGAGATCAAACAATCACCGTAGACTGAGAATAGAGGCTGAAATGGATGTGTACAAACGTACTTACTCAAAGAACCCTTAATTTATGCTGGTTTTATCCCTGATCCCCTTCTCATATACTTTCTAGTGACTTTCCATTTACTGTCCCTATCTAACTCCTGTGTCTAGAAATGCATATGGCCTTCACCTGTAGGGAGTACCAGGATGGAAGCCACACACTCCATCTGTGAGCCAGCAGAGACCATGCTGGCCAGGGGAAGAGCTACTGTAAAAGCTTTGTCTCATCCCATGAGTCAGTGGAGGCCCTGTGCCCTGCCTGCCATGAACCAGCTGGTGTGTGGGCTGTGAGAAGAACAACCACTCCCCACCACACAACCAGCTGATTGGGAGGAACATAGACTGAGAAGATAGCAACTGAAGTAAAGAAACAACCTAAAGCTTGCATTGCTTGATTGACTTTGCAAGTCTAAAGCTGGTAGTCTGAGCAACCACTTAGAGGATGACAATATGCAATATAGTAACCATAGTAGATTCCCTACTGTCTTATTTTTGAAATCCCATATTGAATTCTCACTGTTTTGTTTGTTTTATTGTCCTGTTTTATTTCCTTTAAAATAAATATAAAAAAGGGAAAGAAATGCAGACGGCACCGGAATCAATCAGCCATTGTGAAGTTCCTATTGGCTGGTGTCTGTGACAGGCACCTTGTAGGTATCTTGTGTTTGGTTTGCATTTGGCTCTGAGCACTGCCCCATTAATCCTCTCTCACTGGGGGAGCTTGCTTTCTAATCCTCCCTCAAATGCTGCTTGATTCTACTCATGCCACCCCAATCCTCTCTTCCCTTGCTTGGCTGGTGATCTGTAGGTACATAGGGTTTCCTTAATTTCCACACCGCCTTTTGGGTAACATGCTATTCCTGGCCCATGTTTTTTTTTTTTTTCTCTAGTGACAACCTCAGACATGTCCCTCCTCCTGTTAAATGCCAGTGCCAGGCTATGGGCTCTGACACCCTTGTCCTTTCTAAGGGCATCAGCCCTTCTTTCATGAATGCCAAAAATGTTTCCATCAACAACTCGGCTGATTTTAAAGAGCAGTTGATTCAGTAAGGAGCTAAAACACGAAGCTTTAATCCCTCACTGTGATGAAATAAGCAGGAAAAGAGTCCTTGAATCAGTGCAACGACCACAGGGATATAATTAAGGGATTCTTGAACAAAGGGCTCTTTTAGTTTTTACGGACCTGGGGGTTGAAAGGAAGGAGAGAGGGGAGGAATAAGAGTGGGAACAGTACTGAGTTCTGAGTTAGAAATGATAAGAATGTCTTTGACACTCCTGCTTCCTCTCCCTTTCTGTGTAAAAGGAACCCTTGGCAGAGGTACCTGAAAAAGACCTTGGACGACGATCTCTAAGGATGACAGTAGAATAGATAGGAATACAGATGCATGTATCCTCAGATGAGTCCTTCGCTTCATCTTCCTTTATAGACAGCAATGCCCTGGCTGGGCTTGGGCCTGGAATGAGGAGGGCACTGGAAATTTAGGCCTTGAGGCCTGCCAAGTGATACCTTGTGATGGCCTGTGGTCAGGTCTGTAAAATCACATGTAAGATTTCTTGGTGGAAGCTGGACTCTTCCTGTCTGCAGACTCCAACAAGAGTGCGGATTCATTGGGTGATATCACTCAGCTTGTTATGGTTTAGATATCATGCATTCCTCAAAGCTTGCTGTGTCGGAAATTTGGTTCTTAATGTAGAAATATTCAGAGATGGAGCTTTTGGAGGGTGACTGGATCATGAGGGTCTAACTTCATTAGCAGATTAATTCACCAATGGGATTGATGACAATGTTGGGAGGTGGGAAATGTAGGAAATACAGCCCAGCGTAAGGGAGTGGACCGTGGGGGTGTGCCTTTAGGGACTATATCTTATCCCTGGCCTCTTTCTCTTTCATTCTCTCTTCCTCTGCTTTCTATCATGAATGAACTACATGCTTCCTGCTATCGCAGACCTCGTAATAATGGAGCCAACCAACTGTTTAATAATGGAGCCAACCAACAGTGGGCCGAAACCTCAAAACTATGAGCCAAAATAAATCTTTCCTCCTTATAAGTTGATTGGTCTCAGGTATTTTGTCACTATGATAGAAAACTGACTAACACAGACCTGAACTAGCACATCCTTGAATTTCTTACTTGCATCTATACACTGTCTTGTTTCTTTTGAGTTCTAAAGTTGTACTTCTCAAAGGATTTGACTACACCTGCTGTCTCAACTTCCTCCCACTGTCCCATTCATCCATCAGCTCATTCTCGTGCTCTCCTTGCATATCACTGTTCATAATAATCACTAACAGTTGCTTCTATTTCTTTTTTAAAGAGACATTTGTTTATTTATTTATTTTGGTACTGGGAATTGAACTCATGACCTTGCATTTGCCAGGCAGGCACTTACGCCACTGAGCCAAATCCCATCCTGTTCCTTCTATTTCTATGGTGTCAGTCATAATGTCTCCTTTTTCATTACCAATTTGTTTAAGACTTCTCCCTTCACTCCTGTAGGTGTTCACTGCTAAAACCTTAGTCTCAGTATTGCTTTTGTTGTAGATTTTGGTACATTGTGCTTCCATTTTCATTTATTTCAAGGCAGATTTTAATTTATTTGTTGATCTATTGGTCAATCAGGATCATATTGTTT